CTTGCGCATGGGACAACCCGCCCAAAGGTGACGGGTGTATCCGCAAACAAATCACCCTCGGGTGTTTAATTGCTGTTCAGCAGGTCGGGGCTCTGCCCTCTCTCTCAGCATTGCTGAGGTCCATCGGCTCATGCCGCTCAATGAGCTATGAGGGTGTGCATTTCAACCAAATTGTGCCGACTTAAAGTTGAATTCGGTATTCAATGACACATTCACCGCTTCTTCAAAAGATTACGGATGCACACGGAAAACTTTCCGTTCTGGTCACGCCAGTGCGGAGGCGTCCATAAATACGCTCACTGCGACCGCCTCGGGAAGATGCTGCCATCCCGGCAATAAGAGTTCTCAACGCTTGGACAAAATCCACCAGCTCCTTCTTGCCCTGTTGGGCAGCAAGGAAACGCGATCTCACGCGATACGCTTGATTAGGCGGCGAGGACACTCGCAGAAGCTAACGATTCATTTCCTTCCATGAGGGGGGGACACAACTTCAACGGAAGCACCGCACGTTAGTGCCCATTCTCACGGAGATAGCTAGCGCCACGTGCTGTTGCTCGTTTTGGAGCGTAACGAATGCTGTAGCCATCTCGGCCACTCTCACCCAGAGAAGGAGACTCTCTCCATCCATACCCTCAAAGGTCTTTACGCTTACCATGAGCGGCCTGGGTCGGGAGGAATCATCCGTTATCGACGGTGGCGTCATAGACGCATTCGACGCTGACAGCTTCTGCTGTAATTGCTCTAGCAGAGCAAGTTCATAGCTTGAAAACGCCTCTAGGCGCGCGCTTATGGACTTGGGTCCTTGAGCAACGAGGTGCTCCTCGCCCTCAGCACCCAGCAAGGACACCAGCTTATTAAACCCGTCCTGCATGCCGGTAAAAGTAGGAGTATTCATCCGTCCTTACTAATGATCAGTCGTAATGACTCAGGTGTAAATTGACTACGAGTGCCACCAAGTGCAGCGGGGCTGCCGTAGCTCTTTGCTTAGAAGAAGCTAAGCTAAGGTCACCGACCATACGTTCTATACAAGAACCAGTACGAGTGTAGCGGATCGCATTCCGCTACTTCCAGAGTACTTAAAAACCTTAACCAAGGTAAAGACGATCTTCCGTTCGAAATTGAGACTGGATTTAATTGTTTTAGTTGCGGCAGAGCCGCCAATATATAAAACCTCAGGTTTTCCTAATATATATAGTCATACCTTATCAATATAGTAATACCTAATTGATATAGTAG